TGTAGCTCCCAGCTGTGGCTGGTGGGCCCCCCTCGTCTATATAGAATTGGGGGTTGTGGCTCTGTTGGTGTGGCCAAGACCAGTGGCTGCCTGATGGGGTTAGGTATAGCTGTCCTGTGGCTGTTGGATGGTTGATCTATCTGAGGGGCTGGAGGGGCTGCATGGGCTCTCTGGCGCCTGGTGTGTGGGGCTTAGGGGGCGCTGATTGGGGGGGGAGGGGCATCTGCGAGCACTGGTCGGACATGCATCAGGTTGGGCGATGTCTAATTAAGTGTTTCCGGCCTGATAGGGCTGTTGGGTGAAGCTGCTGAGTGCTGTAAAGCTCCTCAATAACCTGGATGGTCGATGGCCACCTGTGCGGATAGTGGGTTGCAACCACCTGGTTTGACTTGTTTGGGTCTTGCGTGCTGGACTTTTGTGGGGTTTGTTTGGTTTCTTTGGTTTGGCAATGGGCATGGCTAGAGGGGGCAAGGCACCATGGGTGGGAGATAGGCCCCACTGGCCGTTTAGGTCTGTCACCACCTCTATGTATTTCTTTTGTTTGTGAGTGTGTTTTTGGGGGACAGGCAGTGAGTACAGGTCCTCCTCACCATTACGCTCTTCGGAGACACTTGGCAAAGTGGGTTCATAGGGTCGACGGCCTGGCATGCGGATGCGAGAGGTAGACATGTTGGTCACCTCCTCTCTGCCATCGTGTCGCCTGTAGTTTATGTTTGTTTTAGTTTTGTTGGTTTTCTACTGTGGTGGAGGTGTTGTGGGACGGTGTTCAGGCCGGGCGGTAGTGATTTGATATTTTGTTGGACGAGGAACCTGGTTGGGTTGGTCTTTTGCTCGGCTTCGGCTACGCTTAGTGCTGGTTAGCTTCATACCAGAGGAGCTACAGACTTGGACCGGGGCGGGTGCTGGGTTGTTTAATGGTCTTGTAATTAGTTTCCGTGCGGGCATGACTCGGGGATGGCAGGTGCGGGACCGTAGACTTAGTTAGCTTAGGATTAGTGGTATGCCAGTTAGCGGTATCCCTGTGCCGGTGGGGGCTCGTCGTATGCCAGTGTTGGCGGTACGAGTTTAAATAAAATTAGATTGACTTCTAAGTACTTTTCCTACTTATTAGTTTAAATATAAAATACCTTTACGATCTTTATCTTTATTACAACGTTATCTTTACGCCAAGGAAAGTTCTTCATGAAGAAGAGTTAGAGAAAGCTTACAATAGGGGTTCCCGATAGAAGACAGAGGTCTTGTACCATCGGTAACGTAGGCAGAGGCCTAGTGCTATCATAAGACGAAGAAAGGAGAAGAAAGAGAAGAGAAGTATCGTTCCCCATCGCCAAGAACTAACCATCCAAGGAGGGATTGTTACACCTGAATTCTTAATTCAACAGTCTGGTAAAGCTCTCTTGACTCGAGTGTATTTGAATCTGGCATCTTGTCCTGGTAGGATTATAGAGAATATAATTTCACTAGTAGGTCTCTATAGAGTATATTGAGGTATGATAGTAGAATATAATTAAAAACTTGAAGTACATTTTATTGTAGCATATTATATTCTAGAGAGATTTAGGATAGGGATATCATGCTATAAACTTCAATGGCAGAAATTACTTTAGGTACAGACTTCAATGGCAGAGATTACTTTAGGTACAAACTTCAATAGCAGAAATTACTTTAGGCAGAAACTTCAATGTCACAGATTATTTTAGGTAGAGACTTCCATGTCAGAGATTACTTTAGGTTGATACTTCAATGGCAATTGTTTACTATAGTCTAAAGTGAATGGTAAAGGTACTAGTACATTATAATAAGATTTAATAGAGTTTTATTGATTTTTGAGAAGAGTTTAAACAATTTATTATAATACAGGCTAATTTGATATCTGTCTTCAATAATATAGGAGTCTTGTTCCATTCATATAGAAAATCTAATCGTGATTTATCATTGAATTCCAATTTTTTAGAAATTTATTGTTGAGTATGAAATTATTGTTGAGCTGTCGGGCACTCCTCTGGAGTGCCTAAGGTTTGTGAGCGTGCGAGCAACCGGGGGTTGTGGCTGGGGAGCTACAACCTTGGCACGAGTACTACTACATTATGTAGTATCGTTGTCGTTTATTTTTTCTTTTCTCTTGAGCGAAGCGCATGTCATGGGTGATTGTAGCGCGCTCTCCTGTAGCATAAATAGGGCCCTATAGCCCCCCAGTAGAGCATCAATCAAGCAAGAAGTACAACTTCAAACAAGAATTACAACAAACCTCTCTCTCTGAAACAGTGGAAGCAGGTTCCAATCTATTAAATTTAACGCCAAACCCCCAATGATCCCTAACGCCCCCCCCCACCCGAGGGCCCGGATAATCGGTTATCTGTAGTTATCATAGTTAGTCAGTCCATCCCCTGTTCGGCGCAATCATCGGGTTTAAGCCTTTCTTGCGGAGATTTGATTGGTTTTATGGTTGATTAACCGGTTGGGTGCTCACACGGGGTGTCGGTTGTCGTGGGTAATTGTTGAATGACCAGAGTAAATGACTGACTAACGGGAACACAACACGAGTGATATGTCAGTGACCAGTCACTGGTACCATAGCTGTCAAGACTGATTCATACATTGGCATGCCTAACTTTCAAGATCCTCAAGCGAGACATGAACCAATGCATCATCAAATCAAAGCAAAGTGGGGAAATGTTTTGCTCAGTGGAATAGTGGAAGGTTGGTGGGTGGACTATCACGGGGAAACCTTTTCAATACCAGCGTGTCACAGACATTCACTGTAGAATACCAGCTAACCTTTAACACCCCAATAGAGTAATAAATCTATTGTGGCAAATCCTACTTTCAGAATCACTCATGTAAATTCAATAAAAAAAACCTCCAAAAATTCAAGAGAGTAAATCAGAAACACTTCTAAATTTTAGAGTTTTTTTTAAAGATAAAAAATAATTAGGTAGATAGCCAGTGTCACTTAAAATTTGACAATAAATCTCTTTTTTAGGATAATGCTTGTGCCAAGCTGTGTTGAAACCCATACTTATTACCTAGTTTAGCACCTCAAGAAACCACTTTTTTTCTCACAAATCACATTTTCTCTTCCTAATATGTCTCTAAGACTTCCCCCCAGAAAAGGAAAAGTTCCAGTAAATACATTCAATGCTGGTTTATTTTCCAAAAAAATATTTCGATCTTTTATAATTTTTTATGATTGTGTTTCCCTGCTTAGAAGTTGAAGAGTTATTTTCTTGGCCATGGGTGAAACCTTGCATTTTGCTGGCATTGGCAAATGTTGGCTGGTATTCTACAGGGAGGGACCGGGATTCGCTGGTATTGTGTAGGTTTTCTCTGGTCTGAGGCGGTCGAATTCGTCGCCAGGTATCCTAAGACTAGATTTGGTGACAGTTGACTGATCTTGGCCAAAAAATCGGGTTTCTGGCCTTTCCAGTACCCGAACCACCCAGCAGCACTTGGTGAATTTGATTGAATACTATAATAGATAATAACCTCCACTCATGGAAAAAACAAAAACAAAGGCTCGACCCCGGGTTTGAACCGGGGACCTCTCGCAAGCATTCTTAAGGTATTACCCTAAGCGAGAATCATACCACTAGACCAGCCGAGCTGTTTCGGAACTTTGACTTTTTCCATAGTTGACCATACAAAGGAAGGAAGTGTCCATAAGTCCCTCCAGATTTTAGGGAGTGACGCTAGAAGAGGCGGGAGGAGCGCCCACGTCGGTTCGCTATTGAATAAACCAGATGTGGTAAAGTACAAGTATGTCACACCATAAAAATAAATAAATAATTGAGAATGGCGCTGGGACGTCCCTCCGTACTGTACTTCGTACTCGAGTATTATGAGGAAAGAAATCACGGCGAGGATATTTATCTTTCAATCCTCATTACTGCCGGTACTATACCTCCTGGACCGAAAAAATGTGGGAAAATTTTGCGCCGCCCGTATCTCTGAGACACAGGTTACAAGTAAGAAGCAACTTTTTGTCACTTACAACAAATTCGCAGATGTGCAAAAACTTCAGACAATAACTAATCCCAGGTCGGGCATGTGATTGTGCCCGCGCTCACCATCACTGAATTCACCATCACTGAATAATACCGGAGGAAGTATCTTAGTCATCTCTGTTCTAGAACACTGACAGGGGCGGTATGTATCATACAAAATTTTTCACGGTTTCAGCAGTCAAGGAAAAATAGGGCATCGCACCCGCTAGGATAGAACCTTTCCCCAAGCTTTCCCTATGCTCGAACGTCCGCTGCATCAGAGCCGCTGGTTTCTAGGGATCTTTGACTTATCGAGCGAGCACCGGCAATCAACACAACCCCCCCACCCCGTTAGTCAAGACTGCTAGACAGTAGCGGCTATCCCTCAAAACAAACTCTTTAATTTGGAGAGTATAATATATTCGTGGGAGTAGCGTTGGTGATGCTGAGCTTGCGCTTTTGCGGATATTGCTAGTTATGGGTGCATCCACGGGTCGTTTGGCCATTCGGTGAGTGGGACAAATTCAGTCTCCCGCATTCAAGTACCGTACTCACAAAGGGCACTGAGCATGAATTGGGAGCCTTGTTCTGATAGTAGAGGGATCTCAGTAGGGCGTCCATCCCAAGCCCACTACTACCGGTAGTATCGAGCATTACTACTCCCTAACACACCCCTCCCCGCCCACTCACTATCGCCCCTTGTGGACTACTCAATGCTTGCCATGGGCCAGTGTAAAATTATTTATGATGACTAAAATGTTTCTATTGACCCAGGCCATAAGAGAAAGGTTTCAAATTATAAGCTTTAATAAGAATGACACTATTGAATTTTACAACTTGCCTAATTTTCAGGTATTGTGATGATGATATTCAATCCTAAGTAGTAATAGAATAATAAGTTTACAATCTAAAAGGAAACTGGTGACCAAGCAAACAAACTTCAGTTTAAAATTTCTGAATACATCTAGGATACCTCTTTTAGTACTTTGCTACAAACCCTTACACTTCAGCTACTGGTAATATTCACCATTGTTGTTTTCACCTTAGGGCACAAATTTACAAACTAAGAAAAGCCCACGGGCCGGCCTGGCCCATGGCAAGCATTTAGACTACTCGAGAAAAACGAGTGACTGGGAACGACAGTTGGTCGCGATATCGTAGGCCATTCCCCACACTTGTAATACGTACCAAGGCAGGAAAACGATTTGATAAGAGTATCTAGCTAACAATTCCACGGTTTGAACCTTTCTACTACCCATGCTCCAGAAACCCCACCAGATACCTGTAAGAATGAAAGGGCCGCAAAGGAAACAGAGGTAGTTACATTTTCAATTGGCCTTTGCCGTATGAAGGAGAAATGAAACAAACCCAATCGCCGGGCATATAGTAGCAAAGGCTCCCAGGTTAACATGCTTTACTACTAAATTGTCTGCTGTGGAAGGTAGAAAAATAATCTCACCGACGAAAAATAACAAGGAAGGATAACAGGAAAAAACAAAACAAAACAAAAACAAAGGGTACGTATTACAATGGGATTCAGTGTGGTAAGGGCAGGGCGCATCGGGGTAAATCCACAAGTAGATAGACTTGGGGGGAAATGCCACGCGTGAAGACAATAACAGCAAGGGCAGAAGAAAAACGGAATGAAAGGAAAAGGGGAGGGGTTGATAAGTGACTTATCCCAGACTTACTCGATACTTTGAGATTAACTCAAACAGGATCCCCCTAAACCATCCAGTCGCCGCCATGAAGCCCCAAATCCAACTTTACCATAAATACCCATCCAGCATCGATAGCCAGTCAATAGCCGAAGGCTATGGCCGCGGCGGAGAAACCTTCCGGAACACAACGAAGCCTTATAGTAAAGGCGTCTTAGAACCCTCGGGTCTGTTGTATGAACAACAGTACTTCAAGAAACAGAATGCAGTATCTCAAAGATATCCCCAGAAAACATCGGGATGTTGTAGAAAGTGAAAACGAAACTATGAAAGGAAAAAAACAACAACGCCGAACAGAAAGACACCCAAACACCCGCGATCCGCTTTTATCGATAAAAGAACTGCCAGGGAAGCCGAGATGGCAGTCGCGATGGCAGTTTCAGAATGCAAAACAAGAGAACAAAAAGTGAAGATATTTGCGTTGGTAAAATGCAAAGACTGCAAAAGATGACTTAGACCTTAATCTGATCGTTGGCGTTTGGCTGGCCGCGGAGAGGTTCTGTCAGAGGACGGAGAACTTGCCGTGGATGGGGTAGAGAACTTTGACCAACCTAAGATCTCGTCGTCATCTTCGTCTTGTTCTAACTCGTCGTACATTCTCTTCTGTTCAGTGCTTGGTTTTGCCTCTAAAAATATGTTGTGCTCTGCATCATCACTGTCGTACCCAAGTAAGGACTCCACTTCAGGAGCGGGTTCCGGTGAATGTAGGCTATCGACAGCCTCGTCATTTTCGGCGTTTATTGCCACTCCAGATTCATTCGCATCACCAGTAACTGTGTCATCACCATAGTCGGTCCGGAGGTGGGCCTGGTTGAGGTCATAGATTTGGTAGCCAACATGGTACTCCGTTTCACCAGACAAAGCCTCTTGTCCATTAACAGCGCCGTCGTATTCGGCATCGTAATGTTCGTAGCCATCCTCGTATTCAACTGTCTCATCAAGGTATTGGTTTTGCTCATCATCGGTCGGTTGGTCATTTTGCTCCGGGCGGCTATGCCTCTGCATGTTGGATTCATGATTATTCTCCAAAGGGTCTTGAATGTCATACTGCTCGTCATCTGGGATATAATCTCGGCTTGCATCTTGCCCAGCCTCGAAACCTTGCTGACCGTCGTACTCATATTCACCATACTCCTCTTGCTGCTCTCCGACATAATCCTCTTCGCCTTCACCATCACCTCCGAAGACGGGAATTGATGATGTTTCATTATTTACGTTCACATCGCCGTCACTAGGGCTATGACTCTCGTTATGATTGCGATCAGCAGCATTTTCACCTGGATCGATAAAATTAACGGCAGATTCCTGTTCGTAGAGTTCTGTTGCCCGCATTAGTATTTGCACAAGAATAATGAAACGAGTGACCGGTAAGGAAAGAGAGAGAGCCTACCAGGGGTATCAGATGGCCCAGCTGCATCTTGCTGCTGCTCTGGATCTTCATGAGGTGGTGGCTCGTTTTTACCCAGGTTTTGCTCCCCAGATTCCGAATTAACAGTGTGTGGGCTGTGATGAGATTCAGACTCCCCGAATGTCTCATAATCCTCATACTCAATCAACTCCTCCTCTTCTTCAGTAGAATGAGCCTCATCACCCTGAACTGTGGAAACGCTCTCCTCAACCTCGTCAGGAGTTTGAGTATCCCTCGGCGAAGCACTATCGGAGACGGTCTCGAGTTCGAGCACTGCGTTTTCTTGGGCCCTCGGAGTTTCTGAGCCATAATTAGGCGATTCATTAATAGAAGCAGGTGAATCTTTAGATACAGCCTCAGTAGGATGGAGGGGGGCTTCATCCTTCTGATCGTCACCACCCTCATTGCCCTCACCCTCCACACCGTTAGCAATATCATCGTTTCCATATTCAAGATCGAAATCGTCGTCATCGTCGTCGTCGTCACCATCATCCTCTTCAAATTCTTCCTTCTGTTCTAAGATGCTGCCTTGATCCTCTGTTAGGTTAGGTTCTACTTCAGTGGGCTTATCGGTAGCATGTGCGAATGCCACAGATGAGTCATCATTATTATTATAATCTTCGACCTCAGGTTCTTGAAGATTTCCACCTTCACTTGTTTCGACGAATCTCTGCTCGGAGTTCGCGTCGTTGTCTCCCGACTTGCGTCTTGCATACTCGATAGCCTTGTTGTAACCAAGGCCTTCGTTTGCGGAGCTAAGCAACATATTGATACGGTCAGACACGCTAGGGCGCGAAAACAAAACCAAACGAAGTGCTTCTGGATTTTCTATGTTGTCCTGGAGACTGAGTCGGACATGAAGATCGAGGATGTGCTGGAGCGAAAATTCATATGAAGACTTAGAGTCCTACCCATCAGACAAGTCAGTAAATATAATCATGAGCACTAAGTGAAGGAAAAAACTCACCTCGCTAATTTCAACACCATAATCCACAATCTTAATTACCAACTCATCTCCTGGGCTAACAGATCCATCCAAAACATTACGAAGCTCTGAAAACAACTCATTCATCCCCCTCAGACAAACACCGACATCTTTGATAAAAAACGGCAGATCAACATCATCAGGAGGGGGGAATAGCGAGACGTGACTTTGTTCATACTGGACTACAACTGGGTGTGGGTCGAAACCAGGAGGCTCATTCGCAAGGTTGACAGCACCTTGTTCCTCAACTTCATTACCAGTGGTAACGGATTGATGGGGCTGCTCGGTTGCTTCATTCGCCTGCCGCTCCTCCAAGGACACTACTTCGTTCGCAAGGGTTACAGACGTATTCTCGCTCCAAACATTGTCCTTGTGTTGCAAGTCGCCGTCTTGGGTAACAGCTTCATGTGCAACAGTCTTTTCGGTATTTTCAAGCAAGGCGAGAGTACCGCGAGACTCTCCCGCGGGTGATACTGTTTGCTGGGAATCTGTGAGATGGGCAGCTTCACCAGCACTGGGGTCTTCTAGTGGAAGAAAAGGCTGATCAGCTTGTTCTGAAATGGCTGGGGGAATGTTGGGTGTGATGCTGGGTTCTTCGGGAACAGTTGATTGTTCCTCTGGAAGTGTTTTTGGCGAAGCCCCAGGAATTGTAGGAATCCCGTCTGGAACGGGACCGGCTTCATCTACCTGTTGTTTCTCAAAGATGATGTCATCCTCTCCATCCAACATGATATCATCATTATCGTAAAGTTGATGGCTATTATCAGCATTATCTTCCTCCATACGGTAGTTGGCATCAAGATCGGCACCGCCTGCGTTAGAGTAAACTTCGTCGGCATCGATCTCAATGTCAAAGTCGGAATCCTTTCTGATATCGGTGTCCGAGTCCATCATTTCGTCGTCAGTAGCAGGAAGAACATGGTGGTCTAATAGACCCGGTAGTGGGTGATGTGCTGGGTCCGCCTGCATATTGGCGGATTTGTGTTGCGGGGGGTCCTGGAAGGAGTAAGTTGTCCCAGGAGTGTCTGGGTTGTCAGAAAGGTCGGAAAATGGAGTAAGTGGAGCGGTCCGACGGTCAAAAATCGAAATAGAAATGCCGCCTCGAACTACTAAGCTCATGAATCAGGTTGGTTTAAACCAGCTAGCCAAGCAAAGGACCGTTCAAGGCTTGTTTGACGGAGCAAACCCGCGATGCGGTCAGCCAGGTTGTGTGTGGCGTCTCGGCTAGGGCCTGAATACTCCAAGGGAAACTGTGTGGTTAGTAGGTAAGTTGGTTATTGGCACTGAGTTAGGTGATCGATGGAGACTGTTGGTGTGAGAGTAGAAGGGGGTGAAGGGGTTATTTGTAGGTGGGTGTTTGTGGCGAGGTGAGAAAGTTGGGCGAAGACGCGGCGATGAAAGGGGCACGCGGGGAAGGTTAGGTTGGAGTAAAATTTGCAGATCGAACAAAGCGAGTTAAAAAAAAAAAAAGACAAAAACAGGTCGACAAAGTCGGGTGCTGCGACGCGCTTTCGCGATTAAGAGAGGAAAAAAGGATAGGATTAAGGAACTATAATAATCGCTGGTAGAAGTGGGAAGAGGCTTTAGTTCATCGTGTGAAATAATTGCACTCTTTGCTGTGGTGTTGAAGAGGGGAGAGGTGTGTGGTGAGAAAGAAATGAGGGAGTGAGTGGTCAGGAGAAGACCTGAGTCTTGACTGCGTGTTAAAGGATGGAGGAAACCCTAAAGAGCATCCACTCAATAGTAGTAATTAGGCATCCTTGTATGATAATATGATACCGGTAAAGTACTCGTACAGTATCATACTCGAGTATCATACATAAATTTATCACTCAGACAACCTCCTCCTCACCTCTCTCCATGCAAGCCACTGAGCTTGAGAACCCAGTTGTATGATAATAATTATGATAATTATGATACTGTGTATCATACCTGAATCTTCAGAGTGAAACTATCAGTACGGCCCTCGATGAACGCTACTGTCTACCGGTAGACGAGAAAATATATTTACATTAGTTCCAGCGAGTCGCCAACCTCCCCACTGAATAGAATACCGCATAACCTACTCGAGTACTCGTATCTGGCGAGAACCGAGAGACACCCCCAAGCAGCAACAGTTTTAACATCCCCATCAACAGCCACAGTCGAAATAAGAGCCAGCTAAAACTCACAACTTCGTCGAAACCAGAGCCCCAAAAGGTTTAGCCCTGACAATACAGAGTTAGGATGTGACGTTTTTGTTGCAACTTCGAGACAACAGGAATAAACATCATAATATTATTTGAGCGTGAGCTTGCACGGGTACGGTACCGTACTTTGTTCGGTGGTCGTGACTAACCTCACTAAATTTATGTGTCATCTCATATCGACATCATACTGAACAAAGTGCCAAGCTCAACTATCTAAGGTCTAATCAGATCCGTCGAACCTGTTTCTTCCTTCTACCCTAGCTCCTCCTACCTTCTAAATTAACAGCAAAGTAGGCCTGAAAGAGTATCATACCATATATCATACTCGTGTCATACTCGTAGACAAATGAGCGGAAGAAAGGAAAACTGAAAAGTGGAAGAAAAAAAACACCCAAGACGGCAAATATCTCCGGCCTGGCAGAAAATGCAAAATAAAGCTTCCGAGAGATTTCAATCTTATAATGGCATTCCAAGTACGCCGGACTGGTATCATGAGTCGCCGTACTGTGATGCAAGTAGACTATGACACAGTGATACTGCTCTGCATTCTCCCTCATGACGCATAGTCTATAGTCTAGAATGCTCCCTCTCCCTTTGACTATGATACAGACTTTTTCTCTAATGTTAGCCTGTTCTAGATACCAGGAGGTATCGGTATTCTGGCTCTTTTTTTTTTTGCGGGCCATGGTGGAGTGCCAGACATGGCCTAAGAGATCGCAGATTATTTATCTAAGACACTAATCTCCGGCAATCCCGTGCTCCCGACTCAAAATAGACTTCACGGCACACGGTTCGACTACCGGTATTCGAGTTCTTACAGTATTCCGTCATGAATTTTTGAAAGAATGCCCTTTTATATTAAATTTTCTTCAACAATTGCTATGTTTACCAATCTTTATCATTACCTTTCCCTGCTTGATAGTTGTGAGTGTTTTTTATTATTAGAGATCGTACTATAGAGTACCGTACAGTACTCCAATACAGTACATCTACTGGTACTTGTATCATAAAACGTTGCACCCGCCTGGCGTACCGGTAGATGAACATCGATGGTGGGGTACTGTACAGCACAGTACTGCACAATAACTGGTTCAAAAAACAGGAAACTCGAGAGCTTCGGGCTCCTCTTTCGCAACCTTTATCATAGGGGGTTTACAATAACGCAAAGACCAATTTTTTCCAGTGCCGGTATCATAATATTATTGTACCGTTTCCGTACCGTAATGTATATTATTTTTTATCTTTTTTGTCACAGTACTGTTACCACAATTCACACTCAAACGGAAAGTAGACATCCACCCTAGGTGCAAGCTATACTCCACCTCATCACCTCAGGGTGCTGTCATCCACTGTAACGCAGCGAAAAGCCAGGCCTCTCCCAGCAAATCCTTGTTTCCATGGACCCCCCAGCTTTGACCAAGCACACGCAAAAAAAAAAAAAAGAACCCCCAAAAGTAAAGATAGTGAACGAGAAAGACATTCAAAGAATCTTAACATCCCGAATGGAAATACAAGGAAAGTGAATCGCACTGAGACTAAAGAAATATTTGAACCGGTACGGTAGAACCTCGGGCTTTCCGTAGACAGGGCCGCCGCAAACTATGGGGCAATTGTGGTGCGACCAGATACACTCTACATACCAGTAGTGTTGCATAAAATTGACATTCCGGTTCTCTTTTAGTCCATCTTAGCTAATTATCCTCTCCCCCCTCATCGTCTTCATCATCGTCAACTTCGACGACAAGACTTGCGGTAGGCCATAGACAATCTTTGACAGCGCTTTCAGATCCACCCTTCTCACTTTGCAGCTGATATACCTGCCTTGGCATCGGACTGACTAGCTTGAATCCATACTCGTGGGTGTATCCACTTGGTTTCTCCGGCGTTTTCTCGTTGGTTGCACTCTCATTCAAATACTCCAAGCACTCCACGAAGGCGTACACCTCCTCCATATTGGCGTCCCCATTGAACCGTCTGATCACTCTCTCACCGTTCCTCAATCTGATGCTAACCCTAGCTGTATCCTTGCCAGTTGGTTCCACTTTCGGGATGGTTGTAGCTCTCCACTGCCTCCACGCAGTCCTATTCTTTGCCAGCAATACCTTCTCGTCCGCTCTAGCCCGGGCGAGTTCCTCTTCCCTAGCCTTTCTCTCTGCTTCTTCTCTGCGCGCCCTGGCTATCTCCCTATCTCGGGCGAGGGATAGCTCATATGCTGAGTTTTGTTGTTCACGGATGGCTCTACCTGCTTCGTGTACGGCGCGGGTGGCACGGGCCCGCTCGAGGGTCTCGGAATGGGTCATTATAGCAGCCGTCAACTTTGAGACGAGGGTCTGTGGTGGTGTTGGCCCAACAATGCGTGAGACAACAGACATTCCCTGGGAGCTACCGGGTGAAGGAGCTCTGCTTATTAGCGCAGCGAAAGGAAATTTGGCGCAATTGAGGGCCGCTGAAACTGTGAAGTACCGAACCAATCAGAAAAAATTGGGCTACTAAGCATCGACATCGGAAATACCTTGGTATGCCTCGCTGTCTTGGACACTCCCAGCCCAAAGAATAATGTTCTGTGTCTTAATAAATTCAACAACCTCAGGATTTATCAATGTTTCTCTGTTGAAAGATGCCGTGTCATCATGTTCGTCGCTTTGAAGAACTACTAATAAGAACCTTAATTCCTTCTTTGCCAAATCCAGGGCCTGGGCGTAGCCCCCCTCAAAAAAATCCAGTCCGGTCTCCGTTCCATATTCCTCTTCAAATAATCGGATGAACCTGGCGGCGGTGTCCCGGGGGTTCTGTGAGCGGCGGGTAGTCTGTGTTCGTGATGGTGGGGAAGTCGCTGTACGGAATCGAGCCAAGAAGGGAAAGAGGGTGTAGAATAGAGAGAAAAAGGAGTTGCTAAGTCGCCATACCAGTGAAAACGGAAACAACAGGAGTGAAATCAGAAGTGATGGGCGTCGGGATACCGCAGTGGGTTGTGGGACAATTCGGGGAGCAGGGGAAATCGTGCCACGGTTCCGCGATCCGGCCCTGAGAGGGGAACCAGGGGTGGGTAGGGGCGGAGGAGGAGGAATTTGTTGCCGGGCTGCTGCTGCTTGTTCCGCAACAGCTTCAGCCACGGGATCAGAGGTCTCACCGTCGAAGAACTTTGTGATCGCAATCTAGCAGTGCACATGTCAGTAGGGACGGGTCAAGAGCTAGACTCAAAAGTTTAATTACCTCAACGTTCCATTGCGACCTTCGTAGTATGGGAATAGCATCCTTAATTTCTTGGGCAGTAACTGCTGTAAACTGTTCCAGAGCTTGTTGTTGCGATTCCGATAGTTGCGGAGCATCGTTGTCAGCCATGGTTAGATGAGAGAGAACCGTATAGCAGCAGCTGGAGGATATTGAAGGGGTCTGGTTGTTGGTGTCAAGCTGGTTATCGGATATTACATGCGGTTTGAGCAAACGGCCTGAGTCACAGTATGGACACCGTTCAGTGTTCAAATACTAAGGCCCTGTATAGTTGAGGGTGACGTGGAGAAAGCAAGACGAGAAAACCAGGCAGATGTGGTTCAAAACTCGAGAGAAGAGGGCGGCCTGGATTCAGAGGGGAATTGAGATGGTAGAGGGGAGGTGAAAATAGAGGGCGAAAAAAGTGAAATAGGGATATCGACGTGATACAGCGGGTGGGGGGGAGTTTTTGTTTGGTGCGTGAACTGAATATTACAGTGGAGGCTGACCCTGTCACTCGGCCTGGACTTTTTCTGCTCCCATGCCAATACTCAGTCTTGGCAGAGGAGATCTTGGCACGATGCTAGAGTCTCGTGACCAAGGTCCTTCTCGAGAGCCTTTTTTGCAGCATCAATGCCCGACGGGATAATACTTGAGCTGGTAAGATGGCATAAAACGTTTGTAAACCATGGGTAACCTAAGTAGGACCGGTATGCGGTGACTGGAAATCGAGGCCTCCACTCCTGTTACCAAGTAACAGCAGTGGGACTTGTCAAGTAGGGCAGTCTGCTGCAGCATCTGAGGACTGACGGGGCTTGACTTTGCAAATACAGTGTCGTATCATAATCTGCTTTATCCTCTTGCAAGACTAGATTACTGTAGAATTACTGTAGAGTGTGCTGTGCAATTCACAATAATATTATGATACCGGTACTTTTTGGACTCATAAGAGTAATGTTAAATTATACAGTATCGTACTCGTATCCCTCCCCTTCAACCACTACTCCGGCAGGTCATCACAGATACGTCAGGGATCATGGACAGCAATAGCAGTATCATAATACCGCTACTCGAGTACCGGTATTCGTCTACGCTATCCCATATCTCGAGGCTCTTTGCATCATATCTGTATGCTGGCTCAGTCGCCAGCAGACACAATCAATTGAGACTCATGTCTCCACCCAGCTTCACGTAATGTTTTCCCCCGGCCGAGATAAACCAACAACCCCAGGAAATGCAGGGCGAGTCAGAATTATTCGAGGAGAGTTAATTTTGGTCTGTGGTGTCGCCAGAGGATTCAACGGCTCCGTCTCAGCCTCACACGTCATGCCGACCCCTTTCGCCCACTCACCCAAACTTCAGATCCAGCTACTTTAGCGGTAAATCAAGCTCTCCTACCAAAGCGGTTCTTGAGTTATCATGGATTCACAATATGATGTAATTCAGTAGGGTCCAAACGTGCCCACTCGCCTCTGTATTGTGCTATGTGCTCTAGAATCGCCCGCGTGTCATATATATTCGAGTAATGATCCTAATTTTCATCGCATTTGCAGAATTCTAGTCTCCTTTCATTCTTCTCCTACCAGTACCAGCTGACCTCTCACTTCCCATGATCCTTTCGAAAGGGTCTCGCCCAACGTTCATCCGTACTACCGTACTTTGCCAGCCCCTCCTAGCCTCCCTCATGGAATAGGTACCGTATTTGACGGATCAAACCCCTCCCGTCCCTTCTCGAGTGAGTGAAAACATTCCTGGGTTAGTAGAAATGCCCCCGCTCGCGAGAAAAATACTCGTAACAGCTGCGATCGATGGCCTCATTCTATCTCCTATTCAGAGCTCCCGCAATGTGCGGCCCCCACCGCTGCACGGCTCGGTGAGAATCGATTATAAGTCTAAACTAATATTCTCTTACAATCCGACCGAGGAGTCTCAGGCCGCGGAAGCTCTTAGCACTTTATCCTCTTCTATAGAGGCACATGGAATCGTAGGTTTGTACTAATCAAAACTTCTCTCCTTCGCTTTATACCGGGGACTTACCAAATTTCCCCTTGCGGATGGGTGATGAGCAGGGCTATTGAATGTATCTCCCGCCAGCGCCTTCCTGATTGCAGTAACAGATCGTGAGCGAGTGGCTACTATCCGGGGACGCTACCCGATCTATGTAGTAACTGATGTTGCGCTGATTCCTCTCTCTTCCCGAAAGGACTCGGAAGCTGCAATATTCAAGGCTCGAGCCTGGAAGTCTGGAGCAGGTGAGGTAGAGTCGGATGAGGCGCCGGATACCGACATTGAAGAAGACGACGACACGGCTATCGTTGATGATGAGCTTCAAGACCAAGTCAATCCGGATTCGAAATCCGTGAATCACAGAGGGCAGAGCTCTATCGGCGAAGATGTAATCGGAAGGAGGGGAGCTTATGGACGTTTTGCCGAGAACTGGTTCTCTAAGAGAGGGTGGACTGTAGACCGGATAAGAGCTGAAGGTCTTAGCAGTGATGAAGGCATTCGAGAGGAAGATCCTAAAGCCGCAACAGAGGACATCGCAAGTGCCTCCGACGAAGAAATCAAAGATACCAAGAGACCCGAGAGTCAGCGTGCCCTCAGCGCCACGGAAGGTAGTTTTATCAGTGGCCCTGCAAACGTGCCCAAGGGTAGCAAGCGCGAAAACTGTCCTGTGAAGGAAGAGGTAGAGGAGGATGCTGAGGCCATGAAGGAGGATGTAGCTCATAGCCTCACTCCCAAGTTATTGCGCACTACCAGAATCCTGCTGGCATCTTCAAGAAGCTTCTTCTTTAGCTACGACTGGGATATCACAAGGGCGTGGGGTAGGGACGAGGAAAACCAGAGCTCAAGCTTGCCCCTGCGCGAATCTGTCGATTCCCTGGTGTGTATCGCTCACTCCCAAATACCCTTGCTGCATATATGCAATATTGTATTGTGCGCGCCAGTGGGTTTCATATTGGCATCAAGTTCAAGACACTTTGGCTAATATTTTCTTAATTATTTAGTTTTTCTGGAACCGTGCCCTGCAGAAACCGTTTATTGAGTCTGGAAACGACACCTTTGTGCTTCCAATAATGCAGGGATTTGTTGGGCAATTTCAATTCTCTGCAACAGTCCCATCAGGTCCCGAATTATGGCCGCCTACCGAGCCCGGCGAACAGAAACCCACAGAAGTATCACATGAAGATGGAAAGCAGAATCTTCTTCTAACCCTTATTTCCCGTCGTTCTATTAAGCGTGCTGGCCTTCGTTACCTTCGCCGCGGGGTTGATGACTGTGGTAACGTCGCAAACTGCGTAGAAACTGAGCAGATCCTTTCCGACCCGGATTGGAATCGCGTTTTCTCCCATGTGCAACTCAGGGGTTCTATTCCTCTTTATTTTCAGCAATCTCCGTATGCCTTGAGGCCTAAGCCAGTGCTACTTCGGAGTGAGGCTGCAAATGCGGAAGCCTTCCAATTGCACTTCAAAAACATTAAGCAGAGATATGGCAGTATACACGCGGTGAGCTTGGTCGAGAAGCGTGGCAATGAAGCCATCATTGGGGGGAAATTCCAAAGTTCATTCGAAAACCTGCTTAATGCTAACAAAGGAGTTGGGTTTAATTGGTTCGATTTCCACCGGGAATGCCGAGGGATGAGATTCGAGAATGTAAAACTTTTATTCGACGAGATCGGGGAAACATTGGATAAGTTTGAGTACACAGAGGAAATACAAGAGGACGGAAAGTCAAAGAGAGTCAAGAGCCAGTCAGGCGTACTAAGAACGAACTGCATGGATTGTCTCGACAGAACTAACGTTGTGCAATCCTTCTGTGCTCGCAACTCACTAGACAAGCAACTGATATCTCTCGGGGTAACCTCGATGTCTGCTGAAGAAGAGATGAAAGTATCAGCAGGATTTAATATACTATGGGCCGATAATGGCGATGCTATATCAAAGCAATATGCATCAACAGCGGCACTCAAAGGCGACTTTACACGCACCCGTAAACGCAACTACCGCGGGGCGCTTACGGATTTCGGATTAACCCTCTCCCGCTTCTTCACAAATGTGGTATCCGACTTCTTCACCCAGGCAGCTATCGATTTCCTGCTTGGAAACGTCACATCTAAGGTTTTTGAAGAATTTGAGGAGGAAATGATCACTGCGGACCCAGCAGTATCCGTGAAGAAGGTTCGCGAGAACGCAGTAGAGACCAGCGCCAAAATCGTCGTGGAGGATGAGAACGAGGTCGTACTCGGGGGCTGGACATTCCTGACGCCCTCGGGCGAAGATAGGGGACACAAACCTCCCCTTCGGGAGGCCGTGATTCTAGTCACAGACCGAGCGCTCTACAGATGCAGGTTTGAATTCGGCATCGAAAAAGTAAGAGAATTTGAAAGGGTTGAATTAGAAGACATCATCGGTGTTCAATGGGGTAATACCCCCTCCCTCTCTCCCGGCGCAATAGCACAGACTAACCAAAGCCTCAGGAACATACATCATCTCAACCCTCACCCCCTCCAGCACCGACGGAAGGCGCAACATCGGCTTCCTCCTAAAGTACCGCCCCCCACGCACCGGAGAACTCGTCCGGATAAACACCCGCTCTCTGAGGAGCACCTTCGCAAAGCCCATGGGAGAATACCACGACCACGATGACTCGGACACCCACTCGGAAGCTGCAGCGCCCTTCACCGCTGCCGCTGCCACCATCTCTTCATCCTCTGCGACTCGCATAATGGCATTCAAGGCGCCCGCCAGCGGCGAGAGCGGCGAGGTGGATCTTGTGAAGAGTGTCTGCCAGGAGATTGCCAATGCGTGCGCAAAGAATAGACCTGCTGCTGCCATGGAAGCGTTTGTGGAGAACAAGGACGTTATTGGGTTGGCGGAGGCGAAGAAGAGCACGGGGCTGTTGGAGCAGTGGGGGTACAATTTGAGGAAGTTGGTGTGGGCTTGATCTAGCAAGTGGAGTAAATAAATAAGTCAGAGTGCTGGGTGACTGATAGCACGCATGTGTTTTTTATACAATACTATATCTTTATATTCTCCTTTCCCCGTTCCTCCCTAATGATAAAGGCCACACGTACATTGCCACGACCTTCAGAAACCCAGGGAGGAAGAGGTGACAGGAGAGAGGGGGCGTTTCTGTTTTGCCTGTGGAAATTTGATATAACGGTCTCGAGGGTGATTGCCCATGAGGATGTACGAAAATTCACGAGGCCCCTATCCTGTCCCCGCCCAAACCCACAAAAACCTATAGCTGTACCATCGTCATCGCCACGTCGTACATCCCCAAACCACCAACTCAGCCCAAATCCTACCCATTCCCACCACTGCGATTGTGATGAGCAGGTAAAAAACCCCTCTCAATCCTACGAAGTATCCCATCCAGGTTGGCCCAACCAGCCCAACCAGCATCGATAGCTCCAATAAAATACACACCACAAGATATCACTCCCCCCTCCCCTCCTCAAAATCTACAATTCCCCCCTTGAGTTATATAGCATGCCAAGCCGAGCCAACCCTAAGCAGCAAGAAAACTAGCCAAGCAATCTACAGGCCTACAAACAACCACAAGAATCAATTTCAAACGCGTGATTGGTGGGCTAGAAAATATGAAAATGGATGAAAGCGCATCATGACGCGCGGGGCACAAAAAAAGAAGAGAGATTTGGTAATTAACAGGGTTTAATAATTTTGATGATTGGATTAGATTCAATTGGCGTCTGGGTTGGGTTGGGTTGGGGACGGGGAACTGTATGGGAAGTATGATGGAAAGGGAAAAGAAAAAGACATAAGAAATCATGCGATCGTTTGCGGGGTGATGCGGTTATATGGTGATTGGAGATTGGGGTAATTGGGGATGGGGGAGGGGAAATCCGATGCTGTGAGAAGGGGAAAAAACAAACAGGGAATACAAAGATAGGAGCCTGTCTTCAACAAACAAAACCGATCCATCTAAAAAAAAGGGAGATACAAAAGAATTGACAGGATGAGAATGAGAAGGGATAAAGTAAAGGAAAAGGTGGGAAAAACGGGGGGGAAAAGATAGAGCCCTACGCATCTTTAGAGAACTCATCTGGTATGAAAAACAGATTTGGGCTTCTGGAGTGTGGTGGCCATTACCAACAGATAATAGGCTTCACGGGATAAAAAAAGGGAGGAAAGGGGAAAAAGAGGAGAGGCTTATAGAAATGACGAACTCCCCCATGAACCGAGTTGAGAAACACAAACATATGAAAAATGCGAAGCCAATACCCAATTTGAAAATGATCAGCCCATGGAATTATAAGTTTATCGTCGAAGAAAAGACGAGTATAAACCCTAAGCCGTCTTTATTTCTATTCCAGCAAACAGAGAACATCTCCACCACGGGATTCCTTTAAACGTCTAAGAGGGCTGATTTTGTTGGCGCTTAACCTGTTCCCGAGTCCACCTGGCTGTCTCAGTGGTTCTAGGAGCGTATTCACGATTTAATCGAGTCTCCTTAATCATTGCATTAATCCAATCCGCCCTAAAGTACTGAGCAATTTCACCATTGGGGAATGCATCCGCCAAATCCCTAGATGGTGTAAGCCCGAGGACTCACTAGAATATAAGCAAATAACATACCCGAGGACACCCATGGCTGATCTCATCAGATTCTCAGTCTTGTTAGGATCAGCGTTAATTGCCGAGAGGAAACCAAAGATATGTTGAACATATGGCGCAAGGAGCTGAGCTGTTGCAAATGTTAGATAGACTCGTTCAAAACATCCCGAGAATGAGATTAAACAGGCTGTGTACGACTCACTCTTGTCCCCCGATTTGAGGGCAATAATTATGCCATCATAAGCGTCCATGATACCCTCACGAAGAGAAATGACGTATTCCACCATCTCGTAGTTGCTATCAGGTGTTGGGGAGATAGAAGCAGCTTGTTGAAGCACACCCATTACGACCTGAAGATAAGTCTCGAAGAGGCCCCTTATAGCTTGGGCAACATCCCCGAAACATTGTAGAATAGCAGGCTTGAATTGTTGACTTAAGGTATTGCTCTGCGACAACAGTAAGTATTGTGGCAAAGGATTACATTTAGCGGGTAAACAAACCTGGAGGTTACTGAGTAGGTGATTCATGAAACTGTCACAGTAAGGGGCTACTTTGTCGCCTATTGAGCGAGAAATGTCACTCACAAGGCCAATAGCCACAGAGCAAAGTTGTTGCTCTTCCTGGTTGCTCAAAGCATTAAACAGGAAAGGCGCAAATGCTTCCATATACTTGGTGAAGTCTTCTTCTAGAGCATTTGCCATTGCTCCAACTGTACCAAAGATAGCGTCCGGAACAGAGGAATTGGGTGGTAGCATACTAAGGATCTGAAGAAGGATTTGCATAATACGGTCTGCTTGGGGCACAATCTCTTTCTCCAAACGTTGAACAATGCTCTGACGCGTCCGTTAGCCAATATTTGGACACTGATACTGGCTTTGATGGATAACCTACTCCCATAACTACCGTCAAGCTGGTTTGCATTTCCTCCAAAGTAATACGGTCATCGGGGCTAACGATTTGGTTTTGGAGCTGAATAGTCTTTTCCAGTCGCTCTATAATGACAGTACATAGTTGCGCAATCGATGGCAACTCATCCTGGCCGACGTTGGTGATGAAAGAGTTAAGTACTTCATAACAAGCTGTCCGTAGTTGGTTGTCTGCATCTGGTCTGCATAATTAAGATATGTCAGTCGTTTTACTTACCAATCAATTTATAAAGCATCAGAACTGGGCCGGAAATGGCGAACATACCTCTCAGTAGCGGCAAGTAAGGCGCTCACGCTATCCTTGAAGTACTTTGACAATGGGTTTTCCTCCCCTTCGCTATCGATTCCAAATCTATCCGCCAAATTCATTAAGGCCCAACAACAAGAACTAGCCATCTTGGGGCTGTCTTTGAGGCCGGAGAACAACGCCTGGATTAAGCTTGGTAGATGCAGTTCGGGATCAATGGCCGTTCCACAACAGTCGCAGATTCTTCCAAGAGCGTATGCAGCAGAATCTTTGACCATTAAAACCTTGTCATTCATCATTCCTACAAGTATCGGCAAAGCCTGCTTAACAAGGGGGTCCAAAAGCTTGATGTCCGGCCCCTCCATGATTGCTCCGAATGCTGAAACAGCGGCGTCTCTGAAACGCCAGTTCTCGTGTCTTAAATTCTGCTCCACAAATGCTAATACATGCTGGATAACCAACCCACCAACGCAGGCGGAGTATAATTGTAGACACTGATAAGCGGCGCGAGAGATGTTGTACTCGTCGTCTCCAGCGTCTTCATCTTGCTTAGTAAGGAGCTCCAGTAATACAGGAACAACTTCGGGGGTTGCAATTCGAGCGAAGTTAAAAAATGGCCGGAGCTCGGACCCTCCCTCGGCTTGATACTGCGAGATATTAGGGTTCAAATGGATGTACGTTCGTCTGTATTTTCTGCTTACCTGAGCATTATCGTCTTCGATAGCAGACTCCTCTTCGCACACCGTACACCAGAATTCAATAGCCAGTTTAGCGACTTCCTCCTCATCATGTTTCATCCCAACAATGGTGAGACCAAATAGAGCTTTCTCCATATAAAATTTCATCTTATCATAGTAAAGACTCATGATCCTATTTAGGCAACCGAAGGCTGCTTGTTGTATCCTGAAGTCATCACTCTGGGTTGCTTCGCAAATAACCTGCATGATATAATTTCGCTCCCCATCATTGTCGAAGTTCGTTCTGACGAACTCGAGAGAATCACTTAACGCCACCATAGCCGCAAAACGTACATCATTGTTAGATTCCTCTTTCCGGGCGCCCTGGACTACAGCGGTAAGGATCGCATTTGAATGTTGGTTCAAACTCTCCCGAAGATCGGGATCCTCCGATTCACAAATATAGCCAATAGTAGTCAATGAGGATTGCTTCAGACTATCAGAACCCTCCCCAACATTCCGGACCAACGCAGACATCAATTCCTGCCATTGCCCCTGAGGCAGTTCGATTGCTGCAATAGCTGCAATAAGCTGAGCAGCAGAGGTTCCGGCACGATTATTGTTTGATGCAAGTGTTCGAAGTGAATTCTCCTTCACTTGGGCCTTTATAGTGGGGTCCACTTGTGAAGTCCATTTCTGCTGCACTTCAAGCAAACGTGTTCGTTCCCTAGCGGTAAGAGCGTTCTTCAGAGCAATACCGGCAGCACTTCGAATAAACGGTTGTGTTTCTTCATTGGCGAGTTCCGCCGAGAGCATTTGAAGATATTCGGGCTTTAGTCGATAGAAAGTTAGATTACCTTTATCAGCAGGGGTATGGACAGCAAAGAGCGAGGATGGATGAGCGTACAAAATGTTGAGAGGCAGCGGATGAGAGTTGCTGTTCGGCGGCATTGCGGATCGTGGCATCTGCGACGAAGGAGGAATCGTTAATATCTCTCGAGTGGGGGGAAGGGATTGCAACTGAGTATAACTTACCCCCAGAGAGGGTGTTGGCCAACACCTCGGAAACATTCATGGTTGCGGTTGGTTGTGTTCGAGATGAGGATGAGTGGATGAGATGAGGAGGTGGCAGCGGTGGTTGTAGTGTTAATGGTGGTAGCGTTGTTTAGATGAGAAAATGGGTGACAACAGGATTCGAAGGAGGGAAACTAAGCGGTCAAGGGTTGAGGAAGAAGGAGTGATAAAACCGTGGTGTCGTCTACTGAAAGAAGCACGAGGCTGTCACTGTGAGGGCAAAAAAGTTGGACCTCAAAGGTTTGACGCGGCCACAACAAATGGCTTGTAAAGCAAGTGAGGTTACACAACGTTCAAGTAAGAGCTGGACAATCTGAGATTGTTCCCTGGAATCTGGCACAGTCCACGATCAGGAAAGTCTGCAAAATTTGTATGATGAGGGGTGAATTAACGTTTGATTGAGGAGGATGTGTGTGTAGTGACGAACCTCTTTCTGATAGTTTCTCTTAAAGATAGGAATTTATTACTTTTCCTAACCAAGGATATTTTTGTAGGTGGGCGTTGACTTTCACTGGCGGGGGGATAAGGCGGGAAAAAGGAGGGAGGGTTTTTTGTTTTCAAGGGGTGAGGAGGGGCTTTGATGGGAGGAGAGGTGATGTACGGTACCACGCCTACGACAGGGGAGAGTGCTTTCTTGAGGTTAGCGAACGTGCAACGGGCTTTCTGTCTCAGAGTCACTATCTAGCCAATAGGAACTATTAATTCTGCTTAGTCATACGCGAAAACTGGAGAAGCCAAAAGAAGCACTTGGGTGAGGAAGACTCACAGCTCGGACAAAGGAGTCAAAAGGGAAAAGAAAAAGAAAAGAGAAAAAGGAAAAAGAGAATTGTATAAAAACAGACCGATGGGGAAAAAAAAATTAGAGGAAAATCAGAACACCAAAAAAGCTTATCGGGAAATCTAGAAGCTAAGGAAAAAACAATTCACTTTTACCGTCTACTGGTATGTTGTGCTGATACTACTGCAGAGAAGGAGCCACTTGACTTATGTGATGGGGAAAATTGGTCGATTTAAGAATATGTATGAATTTGCCATGGTGCGTTGGTTGTGGTAAGAAAAAAATGAGAAAAAGGATTGCCAAGAGTTCGCTGCAATTATTTGCTTGGGCATTCCTTCTAGCCGACGAATATGGCAGTGGTTATACGGAATCGGTAGAAGTACTTCTCTACCTGCTTCAAAACTTACTTATTGCTTCGTGGCGCTTCAGCTAACGGTAGATATTTCGCTTCCTAGTTTAAAAATTCTCCCACCCTGTAAAAGTGGTCACCTAATAGTGCCGTGCTGCCCAGTTTCAGCTAACGAGAGCACTCAAAGGCCTAGTAACCCACAGGCGGTAGTTTTGCTGGGGCCACAAGAGCCTGCTATTGACACAATTTAGATGTGTACGGCGTCTGCAGAAAGTACCGGTATCCTACGCCTTGTCCCTCTGTCCTTAATGGTATGTGTTGGCGGTTGGCAAAAGTCTCGTATAAGATCCTTGTTCAAGTTCTGGTACATTATTCTGCTGGAGTTAAGTCTCGAGCCCAGAGCAATATTTATACCTTTGGAATACTTTATTTAAAGGGACGTGGAGTAACCATCTATCAAGACAAGGTGAATATATGGTAACCCGGATATGGGTTTTTACCTGCTCGCCGGCCCGGCCCAAGACACAGCCCTCCGTATGCTGCTTTATTCGTAATCGCTTCCATCTTCCCCGTTATCAACAACCATCTCTCCCCCCCCCTCGTCCTCCTCTTCGTCATCTTCCTCTTGATCTAAGTCAAAAACTAAATATGTTACCCGGTCTTCTGCAACAACACACCCAACCCGTCTCCCCTTCCTCCCGTTGACCGTGAGTTGAGATGGTGTGAACCCGGAATCAAATACACGCCTACTCATAATATTGATATTTTGGCCATCAAGGCCATCCGCGTATGAGCAGACGCTTTCGGCCAGGTCCTCTGGGTCATAGTCTTCATCGTAATTTATTGTATTGCAAGTGATCGTCATCATCTCGGAGTTGTGGCCATCTGGGATAGAACGTCTTAGCTCGGCATATTAAACTTGGGAGCGAGAATTGGAATGCGTCAGATACCTCGACCAACAAATAGAAGAATTATTGTCTCGTCGTCAACGAATTGAAAGTCTATCAAATTTCCTTTCCCTTCCTGGGCAGCTAGCGAAACCCTGGCGCATCGAGTCTTTAAAACAGAGCTCAATCCTCCTACGATGGATATGTCACAACGTATTAATATGAGATCATTGCCACCGCTCCCTCGGAAAGCCAGATATCCGACTGGCTTCCCCTCTTCAGTGACCATCCTCATGTCCCCTAGGCCTTTGCTATGGTCTGAAATGACCACTGGCTTCCCGACCCTTAGTTGTTGTCTCATTGCCTGCTGGGGTTTGGCGAACACGGCTTTGCAAAGGTCCTCGAGGTACTCCGTCAGTTCAAAGAAACCCGGAGATTCAGTTTCTTTAGCTTTAGGTCTAGCATAAAGCTCAAAGACACTCTCCCCTTTCCCCTTGTATTCACTAATCTTTGGACCCTTTGCGGAACGGAAAAAGTACCGTAAGGAGGACTCTTTGAGATACTCGCTAATGTATTCGGAAACTCTGAGGGTGTCAATCTGGGGGTCTTCCGGAGGTTTGTCATCGATATTAATGACAGTGGCCAATTCATCTAGTGTATGCTTGAGCCATGAAGCAAAAGCGTCAAAGTGTTCTAATTCTCGGTTGAGCTTTAGGAGGAACTCGTGCGCAAAGACAGTTAGGCCTGAGACAACGTCCAAGCAACGGGTGAAGTCGTCTGGATCCAAACCTAAAGGGCTTCCTCGTTCTTTCCTAGATAGATTTAACCTTAGGTCACAAAATTCAGAGCCAACCAAAGACACACCATCTAGCTAAACCTCGTAGGCGGCAAAATAAGACGGTCAATCTTTCGCAAGTCGGTAGAAGGTTCTCATGTACTAGTCTTCGGAGCGTTTCGTACCCGTTCATAGAACTTTTCTCCCATCTCTTTTGACCCTGCCGTATTGGTGTTAACGTACTACCTAAAGAAAAAGAATGGTGAATGTCATTACCCTTTCGGTCAATACATCAACCAGCCATTCTTTCAGGATACCACTAGGCACTCCGGTCACAAGCAGCTCGAAAAACTCGAGAGATACCTCACTCCCTTGCTTCTTCACATCCTCGTCTATGATGCTGACGTAGCGCTGAGCTAGATCATTCATGGCCTTAAATTCGGCGTCCAAAGCTACAACAGTTTCTTTTATATACCGGAGCAGAGCTTGAACTCTGGTAGAAGTTGAAGCAAGTTGGAACAGATATTGGCCAAACTGTTGAATGAACAATATGTCCATGGTCGCGAACAATATAATCTCACTTTGTGCATCTTCTATGAGAAGGGAGTGTGTAGAAAGGTCGGAAGAAGCGGTATGTCGGAGAAGCTAGGCTTAAATGAGAATGGCCAAACATAAGCAACTGATTCCGGTTCAGGAACATACCCTAGAGGAAGGCCGAAGCCTATCTGAAAGTGATGATAGGTCCATAGTGCCAATCAGGAAGGAGTCAAATACACTCGAAAATCCTTAGCAATCAATCCATCAGATGTTTGAATTCTACTAACTTTAAAAGTATCTTTCCATCCTCCTCACCAATGAGTAAAACGTCCAGATTCTTGCCCTCCCCACTTTTAGTAACAGAATTGATTAAAGCGTCTAGTGTAACTTTGGAGGTGAAAGTGCTTTCGCTGGTGTGATTGTGAACATTCCTTCTCAGCGAAGGGGATAAGGAATAGTACGTACTTCCCAGCAGAAGAGGGTAGAACACTTAGTCGGGGCAACATCTGACCAACATCCATATCAAACAGTGCTTGAGGTGTGCACTCTGTTGACTTAGTTTCTGAGGCTTGACTGGGGGACTTCGAATCTGAATGGTTATCAACCCACCCCACGCAGGTCACCTTTCCAAAGCTTGAGACCTCCGAGGTGATACGATGAATTTGTTTTCCATTGTTTACGTCGTATATTCGTGTCGAGCCGTCGCTGTATCCTAAAGCTAACATTTTTCCTAAAACGGGGATTAACCGAGTAAGCGGATTGAGAAAATTGATGAAGCAGCTCTCTAATGTATGGACAAACCATCTGGGCGCCATTGCATCTTTTCCACCCGGACATCCGAAGCCAATTTGTCCTTTCTGTGTGCAACACCCCAAACTCTCTGGCCATTCATACGATAGAGTAAGATGTTTTCATTAGAAGTGACAATTGCTATCAAATCAAGCTGTGGACTCCAAGCAGCCAAACCAGGACGAGCTGCAATCGGAAGGGTCTTTCGATAATGTATACGGAAACCGCGAGTGGATGCTAGGATAGAACGAACTGATTCGCTTTCGGAGCCGCCCATGACAGGCGAGCTCAGAGAAGAGTTCTCAATTAAAGTTGTGCGGGTGATTGGAGGTGTTTAAGCAAGTATAGGGAGTGAAGCTTTAGTGAGCTGCGACGGTGGTGGAAAGTGGGGGGGGTTTGTGAGAAGACGCGGCGGCATGTTACGATATGATAGTTGCGCCTAGTGTGTTACCGGTACTTGGGCGGTTGCCGGGCGACAGATTGGCACATGGAAAGAAGGGTATTCCCGCAGGGATGACTGGATTGGGGGCTCTAGTTTCCATAGGAGCCGCCCCTCTAAAGCCCCTCGTCCACCCCCCTCCCCTCTTAGTTATCTGGCACTGCACCACCACCAACAGGTCCCATTACACGGCCCTGCTGCTGGTCGCCTCTTGCGTACTGCCTACAGCTCCTCCCCCTCCCACCATTATGGTCTTAGAATCCCCAAAGCCCGGACGCTGCTTCGCTGCCTGGGCCTGAAGACCCCCCCCTCGATTACTGTCCCCCCTCCATACCGGTATATGACTGACGCAGGCCTTCCAAAGTTTTTTATCTTTGGTCCGATCTTATTATTGGCCTTCCCTCTTATCATTACAACAACGCAAATACTATCACCCCCTACCTCCCACCGCCAAACTCTTCTTCCTTAACCTCACATCAACCTAGAGAATTATACCTAAAAAAGTCTTCGCCAATTTTTTCGACCCTTTAGTTCGTCTGCCACGGGAAACGAGAGAGAGAAAGAGAAAGGAGGAAGAGGGGCGAGATTAGGGATCAATCGACTATAGGGGAAATTGTACTGCGTCCATTCACCCTTTCATCCTGGCTTGAGATCCTACCGGAATTAATAATTCACTACTAGTGGAGGCAACTAAACTCGGTGCTGCATCGCTACAAGAGGTAGTAGGACTAA